TAAGAAAAAGTTATATCCAACCCATCTAATCTTTCCTAGATCTAGTGAGAGCAGTTTGTGGTAGGAGTGAAACAAGAGATGTGTTGTCTTTTTTAAGGCTTTTGATGTTTCATGGCACTTGTATGTAAGCCAAGGAGCTASACTAAGGGAGAATTTGGGAGTTTTTTTTCCCCCCAAGGGCTACTTAGAACTCATTAGACCCAGTGCTTTGTTTTCAAAATAATTGTAATCAGAAAGGTGGCCTGGACCAGATCAGCGTTATTAAGAATTAATGATCTGGATGACTTGATAATGAGAAAATTTTYTTAAAATTGAGATGACACCAAGCTAAGGAAAATTGGAGACTTGCTGGGGGATAAGAGTCGCAATTGGTGCTGACAGATGAAGCTATTGCTTGAAAAAAATGAAGTGAGTTAAAAGTAGGGGCAAGAATACAGTAGCACATTTGGTAGTACACATGCAGGATGCATGCTTGATGAAAAACTTTTGAGATTTGTAGTGGTTTTCAAGTCAGATTTGAATTAACAAATTCATGCTATTGTAGAACAGGACATCTGCTTTCAACTTTTAGTGTCTTTCTGGTTTATCCTTTAAGGTAGTCACTAGTTCTGCGTGCTGTCATCCATTCAGTTGGTGGATCATTTAGAGATAGACTAGAGCAGCTTATGGAAGGTGATTAGAGATGCAAAAAATGGGATTCTTCACTAAAAAGAAGGTTGAACATCTGATTATGGACTTTAAATATGAAAAGGCTACCTTTCTAATCAGTTGTGATGGCAGAAAACAGTGTGTTAACTTCCTTTCTGAAGTAGCAATTTGAATTGTATCTGGGAAGATTAAAATTAGGAAACTTGCAGAAGAGAACAGTGAAGTGCTAGGACAGAGCACAAATGGAGATTGTGGCATTCTTAAAAAAACAGGTTAGATACCCCATCCATGAGTGATGACAGTTTTGAGTTTGTTATATTTTCTACACTGGAAGAACTTAATTGCCTATCTTACTCTTTTTAAGGGATTATATGCTGAGTTGTACARTTTGTCTCTTGTGCTTATAGGATAATCAAATGCGCAAGAGCCTATATAGTGCCATATAGACTTCCACTATGCAGAACCCAGTGGTTACAGAATAAATACCCCCTTGGGGGTCTGCAGTCTGGTTTAGTTACTTTTTCCCCATTTGCTTTCAGCTTTATGCTTACACTTTTCTTTCATTCCTTCATATTTGGGGGCARAAGTAGAAATATAAGTCCTCTAAAACTGGCAAATGTCAGTCAATGCTCTTAAGTCTTCCCAAGTTTTCATGTAGCATGAAAAAAAGACCCATCTGCATGAATTCYCTTCCTGATCATAATGAGATGCTAAAACTGAAGGCTCAGTGTGAGTTTCAAATCCCAGTACTAACAGTATTGCTGCTTAGCGTTTTAACAAGTGTGTCCAGCTGATGTGCCAGTTCTGCATCCTATCCTGCCACACATTATTCATGCCTTGCCAAACACATCAGCTTCGTTGAAAATGGCTCATTTATGACTTTTGCCTGGTGCTTACGGTAYCTTTGATACACGGAAAATAGGGAGCATTGGGACAGCCAAAATAAAATGGAACTTTACATTATAAATTAACAGTATGAGTGTTACTGCATATCTTACACTTTGATTTGAAAAATCGTTGATTAATACTACTAGGTACTCTAGCACTAAGAAGTAAACTCAAATAAAATATTCTTGAAACAAAATGCAGAGAGTATTCCAAATATCCATGTATAAATTGTTTACACATTAATTTATCTATCTTTTCTTGTTATGGCTAGTGGTGATGGTCATGAATGCAGTTTATTAAACTGAGATGAGAACTGCGGACCTTTTTTTCCTAACAATAACTCTCAGGCAGATGTATTGTTGCAGGAAATTTGTAGTTCTTCATTCTTTGCCCTTTCATCAAGACATCCAGGTAGCAGCAGGTGGAAAATTCCAGCAGTTCTGAAGATGTCTGCATTATTCCTTCAGACGCTATAACTTCAGTCTTGCCTTACYACTTCCTTTTGAAGATAAATGTTTAAGTGCTGACTTAATCTTACCAGGATGATCTTCACATGATAAAGTAACAGCTTCTGTRTTGTTAAACCATCAAAATTGGTAATAATTCAGGGATTTGGAGAATAGAAAATACCTCTTAAAGTATTTTCTATGTGAAAAGATCTGTGAGATGTAATTTATATTGTGGCAAAGCTAATKAAATCTCATGTTTCTGAGTCTAAATTCGTTGGAGGGACAGCAGTTTCTTTTTTGTGTTTGTTGTTGTTTCTAAAAATTATTTCATCAAGAAAGCATACTAAGTAAGAACTACTGTGGATGTTTGTCCTCTTTTCTAGTTTACCAAACGCTATGATCTGAATTTGTTGAACAGTGTTTTTCTCTTCGGTGAAGTCAAGGCATCTATCAYGGCTTAGGTGAACTGCATAACTACATAAATCCTTCATCTAGCACCCCATGTAGGAGGACATTGTTTTAATCATGTTTTGCAGACAGCAGTGGACACTGTCTCTTAGTCTTGTAACCTTTAGAAGTGCTCTCTGTAGTTGGGTGCTAACCTTGACATGCTTTTTTTTTTCCCAAAGATCATAGTGTCCTACAGACACAGGACTTCTGCAGTACACTTTCTGTGGTTTGTTTTTTGTTGGTATTTCGGATAACTTGGGAATCATCGTGCATTACTTCTGTTCATCCAGATTGAGAAATAAGCATTTTGATACAGCTTGCCTTGTGTGATGCTGGACCGTCTTACCTAATTATTTCTTTCCCCATCTGAAACTGTTAGAAGTTTATTCAGAACAAATGGTGTCACTGTGAGCCTTTTGGAAGACATCTGAGTGAAGACAACCACCATTYTGGAACTGCTGCCTGGATTGTTTGCCTGTGGTTGCTCACAGAAAAGCTAGACAACTGTTGTGATTCTGTGATTTAAGTTGTCAGTGGCTTGACTTACTCAGAGAATCAGAGAGAATGGAGCAGTGGGTCCAGGGTGCTCTGGAGATTGATGGCTGCCGCAGGGACATAAACTAAACAAGAACAGAAGTGATTTGAAAATGCTTTCAGAACAGCAACTTCTTATTGCCTCTGAGGACTCTGTTAGGCGGTCCTTTTTAAGATCAGTCCTTTTAAAATTAATGTTTCAAATAGATTACTGTTTATCTACAGTATTGGTCTAGAAGTGATTCATGACACAACTGCATGGAACAGTTTTTCTTACACTCTTTGTTTATTTACTCTTATTTGCGTCTGGGGAACTTGGCTGCATTTATAATTTTGACTTCCCTCTTCAAAGGTGTTTGTGCACCTAGACTGCAAGTTACGTAAACAAGGATTAAGTGTTTCCTGTCAAAATGATTACACCTTTTTTACTCRCTGAAAATTGAAATAGTTTTAAGAAAATACATGATTTTCCTTGGTGTTATGTAGTGGACCCATCCTTGCAAGATTTATTTTATAAATCAGTTTTTATTTGTGTAGCAGCAGGGAAATCTTTGGTCTGTAGGTGACCGGAGCTGGGTGTGGAAAGGTCCCTGTGGGTTGTAGTGAGATGGAGGCTTATGTAAGATGTGCTAYCAGTGCCGCAGCCTCTTCCTCACCCATTATAACAGATTAGCTCCCCTGGGGCCAGGGCAACCGACCTGTGTCCTGGAATCCCAAGGCAAAATCACCCTGCACTGCTGCTGATACTGATTTCAAAAGTAGCACACTTCTACAGAGTCCCTCAATGTGATGCTGTATCTGATGTGGTCCAAGGGAACAGATACAGACCTAGGTGAGTTATGTCAGTTACTCCCCATGTACAAATCTAAATGTGCTGTCATCCATATTTTTCTTTGCAACACCCTTATGAGATTATATTTGTAATTTTTTAATTTTTAAAAACTGGGAACTGGGCCGTGGAGATTATTTATTAATTGATCAGTTTCAAATSTAAGTACAAAACTCTGACTGAAAATTAAATTGCAAGTTATAATAGCTTATATTTGGCCTATGTGATTAATTCTTCTATAATAAGTACTTCTTGCCATAGGTAGAGATTTGTTACTTTCTGTTATTTTTGCTGGGGGGTTGTTCGTTTTTTAAAACTACATGGTCATGTTATCATCATCATTACTATTACTGTTATTATCATTATTATCCAATTTTACTGTAAGCTAACTAGAATTCTGTTCTGGTAGCTCTGGAATTCTTGCGTAGAAGAGACTTGCAGAGCTCAACCCAACATACAATTTCCTTCTACAGAGTAGAATGGGCCTTGATTCTGATAATAAATGACTTAACGTAACTGTGAAACTGTTCATGCAAGAACTGTGAATATTTCACTGTACCAGATTTTTATAGAAACCTTCCGAATGTTATCCTGATGTTAGTAATGATAATATTCTAAATATGCTTATAATTCACATAATACTAATATTGCACATTTCCTTTGCCTTCCTTCTCCAGAAAGATTTTGTACAACACGGAAATAATCAACATGCTTTTGAGATTCTTAAAAGAAGCCATAGCATAGAAACACATACTATTTGCGGTGTGGTAGTGCTATGCTTTTTGTTTTAAGAAAAAGATGGCAGGAAAGAAGAAGTGAAGTGTGAAAGGAGTAAAATAGTGATAATTTAAAAAAAATTCAAATCAAAGGTAATGGGGCACCAAGAAGATTTTGATTGTGCAGAGCAGCTGTTGCTTCAGATCTGCCTGAATTGTTTGCCCACATTTTATTTAGGATGTGATYATTTGTCGTTTGATAAATATGCATCTGTCATCATTCAGTCACTGGAGAAATTGTTTCAAGATTTTCTTTCCTTCTGTATTTTAATTATTGGTTTTAAATGTCTGCGCATTCATGTATATTCAGATTAGATAGGGCTAGCATTCCTTTCCTTCTAAACTAAGTTTTTGTTTTTTTGTTTTCTCTATTTCCACTTTTCCAATCTTCCCCTGCCCCCACTCTCCCTCTAAAAATACCTTTAGGAATGACTTGATGATGGTGTGCCGCCAGCTGAATATGGAGGCATCTGTTGCAGAGATCATGCACCAGCTGGGAGCAGATGAAAATGGAAAAATTTCATTCCAGGATTTTAGTCAATGCCGCATGGAACTGGTACAGGAAATCAAGAAGGAGGAAGTGCAGCTTTCTGTGAAATCGGATGACTCTTGTAAAAAGAAAAAGTTAAGGGATAGAGTAGCTTCCTGGCCARCTAGCAGCAATAACAGTTTAGGTAGGTATGACTTTTAAATGTCCTGTTGGCGTAATTTAACAAAAGATGAACTCTGGGGGGGTTTGTCACTGATTTTACTGACATTAGGGTTGCCCCTAATCCTTTGTGAACCCTTGGAATAATTTCACCATATGTTAGAGTGTAACTGTTGTAACTGATGCAGTCTTATCATCAGAATGTAGACTGGAATGTGTGCAGAGCATCCTCATCTAAAAATACAAGTTTCACAAGAGAACAGACTTCCTTGGAAGGACAAGAGCTGCAGAGCGTGACTGGTAACTGAAGATGCAGGGAGTTCTCTATTCTCTGTAAAGCCCAGGCAGGTATGTAGGTAAAATTGAAAAACGAGGAGGGGCATATTCTTGGTTTCAGTCATAATACATTGTAGGAACTGATGTTTCTTGGATGCTTTAAAAATCATTCCACCCTAGTGGGAGACCTGAATGCTGCAATAGCCTTATGGTTTAGAGAATACAAAAATACTCCTCTGACTGCTTAAAACCAAAAAAACATAAACCAGAACCAACTAACCAATCAAAGTAATAAAACAACCCTTGAACAACAACAAAAAACCACAAAGGCCCCAAAAAACCCAAACCAAAACCCCCAAGAAAAAGTGCTGTTCCATCCACAGGAGCATGGGATGTAGGAAGGGATTGTCTGTGTCATTGAGCCCAATCTTAGATAGCACTGTGACCAGTCAGCATTAGGTGAGAAATGTTAACACCTGCAGAATGCCTCCTTTCACCCTATGATAAATGCAGGAGGCTAGAGGACACAGATTCTGTGGTCAAAAATCATGAAGTKCAGTCTCTTGTGGAAAAAGCTGAGTGTGTTTCTCATTCCCAGCTCCCAACAAGACATGCATACTGACCAAGCACAGCTGCTGGCTGGTGACGTGGATCTGGCCTATATCAGTGCTTCACAAAAAGGCTATCAGCCTCTGATTGTGTTTAATTAGAGCCGTATCTTCTCTCTGTTCTTTAGTCTAGATGAGCCTGCATGTTTTAAAACTTTTTTAGCTAGAAATCTTCCATTAGTGTTCCCAATAGTTATTCTTTGCATGTTTCCTAAATTAAGCTGGTAATATTTTTTACTKTGGGATGTGCTTCATACATCTTCTGGAGAGTTGTGTTATTTTGGCTCCTCATGTTACTGACATAATACAGATACAAGTCAAACATAGCAGAAGAGAGCAATTGCAGTGGGCAGCTCAATCACAGTACCAGTGCAACTGAGCCATGGATACACATACCCCATACTGGCCTGGCTAACTCAGGGAGACAGTCATACTCTGAATTCAAGGAGAAACACACCACCATGTGATTATCTTAGCTGCCTGTAGTTGTTTATCTAAAGCAAAATCCACTCTCAGATCCCCTTGCTGTTGAGATCAAGTCAGCTTCTTTGCAACACCTGTGATCAGTCCCAGCCCATATTCTTCCCTGAGCTTCATGAGCACAGCACTCTGGCTCATCTTTGATTCTTCTCCCATGGTAGGGCTTTACTGATTAGTCACGCCTGTCTTTATTTTGTCAGTAGTCAGCCTCATACTGGACATGTCTTGATTTTGCCAGTTTGGTCTATTAGTTTACTTAATTATTTCCTTTGGAGATGCCAGGTTAGCATGTTCTGTCTTCTGTTTACTTTCCACATGTTTTTGGCTAGTTATGTCAGGAATTCAAGTTTTCCTTGTTTACTTTGTATGCTTGGTRTACTCCTTATCTTTTTGCTTTTTTGGATGGACTGTACTACTCCCTTATCATCCCAACATCTCATGCTCCTTGGCTTTTTATTTTGACTTCTTAGCATTGCAAATCTGTTTATAGCTCTCTTTATCTTCCCTCTCGTATTTTATGGTTTCATAGTCGTATTTTGTTACAGAGGTACTTTATTGCTAGCATTTCCTCTGTTTATTCTTCTTCTAGATATATACTAGAATGGCAATGCTCTGTAGTTCCTGCACCATTTCTCCATCACTTTCTGTATTGAAGTCTTCATAACMCTTGGGCTCAATTTCATTTCCAGCCCGTGAATCACTTTCGGGAGCTGTATCAGACAATATTTCGAAGCCAAGATTGTACCTAATATATTTTGGGTTTTTGTAATTTGTTTAAGAATGTTTTGTGTTCCCTGGATCATACATATATCATCTTTTATCTGCTTTTTCAATRCTGCCACAGTTGTATTCTTCTGCAAAATAAAAAAGTTGTTCTGCCCACAAATGGCTATACAAACTTTCCCTGTTTCCTGACCAGATTTCTGGCAACTTGGGCTGTAAGATTCTTCTTTCACCACCAGTCTGAAAATTTCATTTTGTAATAATCAAGGGTAGAAGACAGCACTTAAGCTTTGTAAGACAAAGATCTACATAATAGTCTCAAGATCTGTCCCACAAAGAAATGTTACTAATTACTGCCAAAAAGTACTCAAAGATGAACTTCCAGTTTAATTAGTGTATAGGATTCAATTCCTGCTATTTTTTTCCTATTCTCCAATTTCTGTTAGTTGTACAGAAATAATTTAATGCATTTTTAAAGCTGGCAGGTGAATATATTTTTCTTTTTATATATTTTTTTTCCCAGAAGTTAGGTCCAGAAGAATTTAGAGTTTCCTGCCTTGATATATTTTTCTCTGCTGATCAAGTGCAACTATTTTAATGCACTGTATTTCTAGACCTGTAAGAAATTGATGGGTTTTGTCCTTGTTCCACCTTGACCCTTTCAGATTCTGTTGGACTTTTTAATACTTAAAAAGATACAGAGGTGCTTCCCCAAAAAAAGAATGGGGGGAAATAATAAAAGGAAGGGTTGAGAGTGCAACTGTTTTTTATTTGGTTGTGAAAGAAAACCACTGTGGCAGCACTGTTCAAAATGTTCTACATGGCTTTTTTTTCCAAAAGTCAAGGGAAAACACAGCTAAAATATTTCTATGTTATAAAGTCAGCTTGAAGTATGAACATAATGACAGCTGAGGAGTTACACTTGGAGTCAGGCTTGAATTATGATCTGCATATTTCTTTGCCTTTCATGTCTTTGAGGGCTCGCTTATGTGCTCCTTAGTGATCAGAGAATTGGTTGTTATGCTGACTCTTTGCTGTTGCTTTCTAAACATTGCTTAAGACAAGAGACAAATTCAAGCATGAGCTTGGTGGATGTTCTTTTTTTGTGTTACCATTTTCTGGTCAAAGAACAGTCAAAATAAACAGTCACTGTTTATTTTCAAAGATAGTTTATGGGCCTTTTTCTCAGGAGTGATTTCTACAAGCATATCAGCTGCTGATAATCTTTGACAGTTGTTACCATTTTTCTATGTGGGGCACATAAACGACAGAATTTCAAAATTCATTTGACTGGTTCTGAGTAGCAGGGGTCCTGATGATCTGAATCAAAGGAATCCAGCCTCTGACATGGATGTTTTTACATTGCAAGTTTATATGTAATTGTGCAGACATTACCAGTCAAGCAGCATTTTGTGCTGCCTTTACTTGGARCTGCTCCAAATTCTTATTTAGAAAGTGCAAAAACTTTTATCTAAATAAAATATTACCSTTTCTGCCTATAAGTTTTGCTTTTCATAATGAAGGAAATAACTTGAAAAACGTTGCAAAAAGTAATGACATCTAATTTACTAATAAACTTCGTCTCACCCATCTTTTTTATCATTGGTAAGGTTATTCTAATGCTTTTGTCCAACTTTGCCCAATAAATGTTCACTCCTGTGTTTCCACTGGGTTACAGAAGCAAGGAAATTGGTTGGCTGTTTTAATCAAGGTACAGGACTCAGGTTTGTTAATACTCAGTTATGTATGYGCCCAGCAAGACAGCCCTGCATCCCTGTCTACCATCTTGATTGAGCAAATGAGTGCACAGATTTATAAGTTCAAAGTTTTAATCAAGTGCACAAAAAATTATGGTTTTCAAGTTAATAGAATAAGGCTTTTTGATGTTTGGGTATCAGAAATTCAAAGCTGTTACAATGTGTTGTAAWTCTTACCCTGCACAATTAATGTCAGTGGGAGCTTTAACAATAATTTGCTAGTAATAACCAGTTATTTTWCTATATGTGAAATGGAATGTAAACTCCATTCATGTTTTTCTCTGGCATTTTAAAATCAAATAAAAATTAATGAAATAACTTTTGCAGGTGTTGCTGGAGTATTGCACTGACCACATGTGACTTGAGTCTTTAAWATATCATTTCAGTAGGAAATGCAGGAAGAATGTGAGTTACTGATCAGATGTGTGGGTCTTGTGTCCCATGTCAGATGTGTGGAGAATGAGGGCCATGGCAGGTACAGTAAATCTGGGTGAATAGCACAGTGAATGATGGAAGAGTATTGCTTGGCACAGGAAAACTTAAACATAGCAGAACGTCTTCTCTATTATTTAAAGCAGGGAGTTGCCTGAATGGTTACGGCTTCTGTCAGCTTTTTCTATATTGTATAGCTTTGTATGTTATTTAAAACAGCTAGAATTAGAATTATTTCTATTATGCATTTTGTAGATTTGTSTAGCACTCTACAAGGAGCAAATTACCATTTTTCCCCATGATTAACAATAGCCTACTTCTAGCACCCATTGACTTGGAGGGTTAATAAGAAATGGCACTATTTTATTAGTGAATTCTTTCTTTAGACAAGTAATTCGGTTTTTTGTAACTCTGCGTGTTTATTGATCTGATTTCATATTCCAGATAAATAGTTACAASAATCCTTTACCAATTTACCAATCCTACAATTTTTGTAGGTTAGTACTTAGTACTAACTCCCCTTTCTTTACTGAAATTAAGTCYCTTGAAAATTTTCTATGATAATTTATTTGCATAGTGGATCAAGCATGAGAATTAATCAAAGGAATGGTAGGAATTCAGTCTTAAATTAAACATGGGTAAACAGGAGAGGCAGACTAGTGGGGCTGAAAAATCATTTTTGCTTTACATTAATTCCATATTTGATCTTTCTGCAAGTAAATWACTCTCAAGAAACTGATGCAGTGATT